ATCTGAAATTTTCAGTTCAGTTCAGATTTTTTTCAGTTCAGATTAGATTTATAATCTGAAAAAAATCTGAACTAAACCAAAAATTTTCGGATTAAATTTTTTGCAATCTGAAACTGAACTGAAGTTGATTTGAATTAAAAATTTTTGAATTAATCTGAACCGTTCAGAGCTTTATTTAAAACATATATTATTTATTAAAATTTATTATAATTGAGTTAACATTATGATAATTAATCATAATATTAATCTAAAATATAATAATTTTAAAATGATACACAAAAAATATTATCATATAATATAAAATCCACAAAAAATTTTAAAATATTATTAAATTAAGATTTCTGATACTATAATAAAATTTAATCTTATAATTTTTTTATTAAAAATATTATTTTATAAATATTAACTAAAATATTTAAATTCTTTAACTTAAAAATACATAATATATTTAAAATAATATTAAAAATTTTAAAATTATCATTAATAAATTAAAATACATTAATTTAATAATTTTTATAACTATTATTTTTAAAATATTAAAATTAATATTAAACTGAATAATATAAATATTTAATAAAATTATAAATCTTTATTATAAAAATATTTAATAATATTTAATTAACAAATTTAAAAATTTTTTAATAAATTTTAAATTAAGAAAGTTATTTTAAAAAAATTTTAAACTTATTTTTTATAATTTTAAACAAAAGATTTAATACTAAATTTATCTTAAATAATAAAATTATTAGTTGTTTATTAAAGATAAATAAATTAATAAATATATATATAATAAAAACTGATTATAGATACCTGTCAAAACCTTCTTAAAATAATTTTATTATACCCTTTTCTATATTTTTAATATAGTTGGCTTTTTTCATATTGAATGGGTTTCGTCATATCCCTTATTATGATTTAAATATAGTTTCGTCTAAGTTTCGACTGTTATTAAAGGGTTTCGTCTCTCATCTATAAAACTGATTAAAAAAGAATTATATTAAATTATTTTAATAATTTATTATTAATATAATATAAACCTATAAAATAAAATAAATAGTTTAATAAACTATTAATATATATTAAATAAAAATTATTAATTTATTTTTAAATATATATATATATTTTTTTTTTTAAATTTTTTAATGATCAGTCACCTGGAATATCTTAATTATTGGGCTCAGTTAGTCTCATATGTTATCATAAATTAATGCTAGCCCTTTCTTGTTATTTCTCAAGTTAGTCTAAACTGCTAATATCACTAGCTTTTATGACAAACTTGCACTTCAAATATCACATGACTTTCCCTAAATGCTATCAGTATGAAGGATTTTGGCCAATTATTAAAAAGAGAAGTCTTTATTAACCTAATTCAGAATAACTGTCTGATATAGTTAGTACGCTCAGACTGTCAAAATAACCCTGAGAATTGTATTCAGGCTTCTCAAATCCTAATTAATTCCATAGACACCACAGTATTTCAACTAGAAACTACCTATAACTCACAATTCTTATTTAATCCAAATTACACAATATCTACTATAGATCAGTTATAGCCTATTATCAGAAATAATCTCCTTGCAGACGATGCAATACTTGCCTATTACATGCCAGCCTTTTTATATAAATTCTAAACTCAATTAGTTTTATATACATATAACCACTTACACAGTTATACAGGTTCACTATATTCTACAAGTTTGTGATCTTTAACGCATATGATTTATATGCATCCTATAATATTCATTCTCAGAATCAAACTGGTAAATCCCGCAATAAATTAATATCGCAATCTGCATTTAGCTGGTGCTAAACTAGGATCTATTTAGTGTAATTATAATAGGGACTTACATCTTACGAATTGAGTCAAGGCTGCCAGACTCTTATTTTTAAATATATTATTTATTTATTTATTTATTACTAAAAAATTAATATTTCTAATAAATTATAATCTAATATATTAGATTTTTTAAAATTAAATTAAACTAATTATTAGAGTAATTTAAATTTAATAAAACTAATCTATTAAATTATTATACTAATATATGACTATAAAAGAATAGTATGTTTGAAAAAAGATTAGTAAAGATTTTAGAGAACAAATAATGAATACTGAGAATAATACTAATAGTTTAGCTTTGATTAATGATGATTAATTGATTACTATTATGAAAAATAAGTTAAAAGAAATTTAAGATAAGTTAAAGTAAATCCAATTAAGATCTATATAATTTAATTTTTATTTATATTTGATTTTTTTGTAAAATACTAATTTTTAAGACTATTTATTTCTATATTATATTTATATTAATTTAAATAAAAAAAAATTAAGAAAAAGTTAATTAGTCAAAAAATTATAGGTGAGAATTGAAAAACTAAATTTGAAAGCAAAAGTAAACTGAAATAAAAGATTGCTAAACCAATTAAGGGTAAAATTAATAAGCAAGAAAGGAAAATGAAATAAATTAGAATGCTTTTAAATAATATTAATAAATAAATAATAATTTTTATTATTTCAATTTAAATAAATAATTATTATCAATACTATTATTAAACTTATATAAAATTAAATTTTTATTTACTATTAAGAATTTATTATTTCTAAATATTTAAATATTAAATAATAACTAATTTTTAATTTGAGTTTTAATATATTTGTAAAAAAAAAAAAACTATCATTTATAATTAATACTTTGGAATAAATTATTTTTATATAATAAAATAAAAGTTTTTAGATTTAATAATGCATACAAAGTATATATTAAGAGTTTTATATTTTTAGTCCGGAGCGAAGCGGATTGGCTAGTTGCGAGTTACGAATAGTTACGTGAAACTCACGCATTTGTTGACCTTTCCTATACTGGCAGAGAAATAGCTCCGGACTTACAACGGGTTCCCGTTTCTCTAGTTATAATTTAACATACGATTATTATAATTATAAATAATTAATTACTGTTAAAATATATACTTTAAAAGTTATTAATTTTAATTAATTAATTAATAATATATATTTGCTTTATATATTTTTTCGGTCTTATATACAAATTATTAATATTATATAGTATATTAATACAACGTAAAAGCGAAATACAGTAAATGTGAAGAAGAATTATATATATATTAGTTATCCGAGGATTTTTTCATTAATATACGGAATTTTTCAGACAACAATAAGTGTTGATTATTATGTAATTCAAATCCCAAATAAGCACTTAAAGTCAATCCGGATATACACAAATAGGTGATACGTTTAAATTATTATAAACTTCGAATGATTTTTGCGCATAACGGGTATCACATAAGAATTTGTATGTTATATTAGGAAATGAAGATATAATTTTTATTAATGATTAAATTAAAATATAAAATCAAATTCTGCATAAAAATTGCGACATCTTTCCTTCTCTTCTCTCTCCTTTATTCCATAAGGCATCACCTCAAAATAACTTTTATCACCGAACAAAGTTATTTTTTCCTTAATATCAAAATTCTTCCTTTTTTTCTTGCATCATCTCCTATAATCCTTTACTTTAATACAAAAATGACGACTCTAACACTCTCCTTTTCCTTAATTATATTGACTTTTTTAGTATTAACCGCTAACATGATTTTGATTGATGCATCTTCAATCTACCGACGTCAAAATCCTGTATCTGAAACCGATATTAGAGAATTTAAATTATGGGTAAAATATGCTAGGTAAGAGAATACAACCATTTACTCCAAAGTTATACGCAAATGTAACAACTTGTCGCGTTTCTTAATTTTAGTGCTGCATATTGCGACGTAAAAGATTGGAAATGTGGTAAAGCATGCGAAGGTGATACAGCCGGAACTCGATTAATAAAATTTTTTCAACAATCGGTTCCAAGAGATAATAATGGCTTTGTAGCAATTAATGATAAAGAAAGAGCAATTATAATTTCTTACAGAGGAACGTCCGATATACAATCCATTATACAAGATTTTCAACTTAATCTAACTCCGTATTCGCCATCTGTACCAGATGCAAAAGTACATTTTGGTTTTTATGCTACATATAATGATACAAGAGAAGAAATTACTTCTTTAGTTAAACGATTAGTCAAAGATAATCCTTCTTATAAAGTTATTTCTACAGGACATTCTTTAGGAGGAGCTTTAGCAGTATTTCAAACTTTAGATTTAATTGGTACACCAGGATTAAACCCTTCTAATCTTTTAACCTACACTTTTGGTGAACCGCGTTCTGGAAATAATGCTTTTGCTAAATTTATCATAAATTCTGGTTATAAATTTTTTAGAGTTGTAAACCAAAATGACCTTGTTCCTCATTTACCTTCCCGTAAACTTAAATACATTCATTATGGTCCTGAATATTGGATAAATCCAAAAAAGGACATTGTTCTCTGTCAAAATGCTGAAGACAAAAGATGTAGTTCTTCTTTGCCATTTAAATCTCTTGTTAGACATGCTAGATATTTTGACACGGTTTTTCTTTTAACTTGTCTAATTAAAAAATAGAGCGTAATTTACACCTTCCTTTATTTTTTTTTGATCTTTTATATAGAAAATAGTGCGCATCTTCCTACCTTTCTTAATATACAATAATAACGTAAATTATATAGACAGAATAGATGATAATTAAACTTACTAGAATAAAAGCATAATAATAATATCTCTAGATTATCGTGTTTATAATCTTTATATAATTACTATATTTTACAAATTATCACCCATAAATCCGGACCGAAAAAAAAATAAATCTCTAACACTTCAAAAAAAAAATATGCGACCCTAAATCACAAACTAATCCCAAATTTGTAACAAATAATAGGATTTTAATTTTTTTAGAAAACTTATATACTGTATATTTGCAAATTAATTTAGCTATTATTTTTTTCAGAATTATACTAAAGATAATATTAAAATATTATTAAATATTTTGATAATAAAGTTCACTTTTAATTTAAATAAAAAATATATAATATACTGTATACTTAATAAAATTAATGATTTTAAATAATAAATTAATTATATGGTTTAATTGATTGAAATTATGATCACAAAATGGATAATTGAATTAACTAAAATCAAATTTTAAATTTATTAATATTTTTTATATTATTAGTTTACATTAATAAATTTTATTATTATTTATAAATTTATATTTAATATCCCTTAAACTGTAAGTATAAAATTGTTTTCAAAACATTTTAAATACTTAAAATATTTTGATATAAAAAATGTGTAGATTTAAGGGCAGTTACAGCTTAGCCTGCAAACAAAAAAATAAAACTTCCTTTATAAACTTCTTTCTTTGTTTGTTTTTTCCAAATCCTATTATTCCAAAAAACAGTTTTTGCTAGTCCAAATAGTAATGATTTTTTGTTAAAATATTTTTTACTTCTCTTAGTTATTTTTTCATATTTTTTCCTTTTTTATTTATTCACAAAAGTAAGCATCAGGAGGTATCCTAAATGATAATCAAGATTGATAATAACTTTAGATCAACTAATATCACATAATGACTTTTTTAATTACCTTTTTAAATAATCATAATCTTTTAGATCTCTGATGTCATAAAGCCTACTGATCTTAGCAGAATTTTTTAGTTTCTCATAATTATGTGATTTGAACTCTGTGCAATGCCTATTAAAAGTTGCAATCTGAATTGACAGATATCTTAATATAGAAGTTTAAGAGTACTGAAAAACTTATAACAAAACTTAGTGATTAGAATACTCCTATGCTAAAAGGTTACTATAACCAAAATTAACTAGGTAGAATTTATTAGAGTTATATTTTTTATTAGTTTTTTTTTTAGTTTAACAATAATTCATATTACTTATTTTTATATTGAATTTAAATTTAGAATAGAAATTATTATTAGAAAAAAGAAAAGTGTGTAGTAATAATCTAATTATTGTGTGTTAAGAAAGATTTTACTAGTGATTATCTCTTGAGTATGATAAAATAACTGATTAGTCTAGGACTAGTAAGTTTTTTAGCTTGCAAGAATATTTTAGGCAGTTCAATTTATTTTTTCTACTTTTGTATCTGATTTTTGAGACTTTCATATATTAATTAAATTTTTTATAATAAATTTAAGTATTATTGGTCTTTAAAAAATAATTACAAAAATATAAAATTTTAGTTTATTAGATTTATTACATTAAGACCTATTAATAGTAGTATTTTTATATTTTTAAGATTGATAAATAACAAGATATATAAGTTTAAAATTTTAATTTTTTTATAATAATTTATTATTTATTTATCTTTAAAAAATTACTAATTTTTTTTTAATTTTTACTTAAAAAACATTATAAAATTTATTATAAAAATATTAAATTTTTTTAATAATATATTTTAAAATATTTAAAAATAATTAAAAAGAATTGTAATTAAAATAAAATTGCTTACAAATTTGTAGGCAAAATAGTTAAAGGGATAATATAATATTTATTAAATTTTATATAAAATAATTATTATTATTTATAATAACTATTAATTATAAATATAATAAATTTATATTATATATATTAAAACTTTTTATTATATTTATATTTAAAATTAAAAATAATATATTTATTAAACAATAATTTTAATTTATAAATTTTATTATAGAATTATATTATTAAAAACTTATAAATATATATAAAATTATATTAAATAACTTATTTAATAATTTGAAATAAAAAAAAATAAAATTATATATTATAAAAATTTTATTAAAGAAAATATAATATTTAACTATAATATGATAATTAAAATAGTTTAATTTAATATTAATAATATGATTTAATAATTTTTAATATTTAATTATTAAAATAAATATTAGTTAAATTTAAAACAAATTAAATAAAATATTATTAAATAGATAAACTTTATAATTATTAAGTTAAGTTTTAGGTAAATATATATAAAAATATTTTTTCTAAAAAATTATAAAAGTCATTTTTGAAAAATAGAAAAAAAAATTAAAAAATACTTTTAATAATTTAAAAATTCTATATTTTTATTTATTGTAATAAATGTATATTATTTGACCAAATAAACTGGCTTATTCTATATATAGAAGAATTTCTAGAAAAATCAGATTCTGAGAAATTTTTATTTAAATTAAGAGTTTAATACATTTTAATCTAATAACATCAAAAATTAAAATGCAATAAAAATCTCAATTTTATTAAAAAATTTCTGAAAGCTGATTTTCTTAGCAATCAATCCATATTATATTTAATACTAAGAAAGATTAGGAAGCTAAAAAAGCTAAAAACACATTTTTAAATGATTTTTTAATTTAAAAATAATGTAATATATGATAATAATTATAAAGAAAAACTTATTTTTACTAGAATATTAAAATAAAAATATAAAATATGATTAATTAGTTTCAAATTTTTAAAATAGATAATAGATTATTAAAAATAAATTTATAAGAATAAAAAGTTATTATATTTATTATTTCTATTACAATTTAACTATAATTAAAATTTATATTTAAATATTATATGTTTATTTCAAAAATATATTAGAAAATATTATAAATATCAATTATTATCAATTTTTCAAAAAAAAAGACTCATTTTAGAAAGAATTTAACAAAATCTTTTATTAATTACTGTAATGAATTTAAAATTCTTATTAAAGTATGTATATCTTTTTTAATTTTTTTAAAATTTAATTTATAACTTTAATTTATAATTAATTATATTATAGATTTAATATTATATAACTGATAATGCTGAAAATAATAATATTATAATGAAAGAACTTAAAAAAAAATTAATTACAAAATATTAATTTTATTAAAAAAAATAATCATTTGTATATATTATAAATTTAGCTACATAAAGTATATTTATTTCTTTAAAAGCTAATTATTTAAAAAGTAAAATTAACATACTTTATAATGAAGTAACAAATAATTTAATTTTAAAGGTAAATAATATATATATTTTTAAAATTTTTTTTTTTTTTTTTCTTAGGTTCTAGTGATCGGTCGAATATCCCGACTCTGCGGTTCATATGTCTGATATGTTATTATATCCAGAAACAAATCCCTCCTGGCTACATTTAAAGCTGGTCTGAACTGCTAAAACACTAGCCTTCGCAACTGACTATGTATCCTGAATACCGCATGGCTAACCTCTGATATAGTTAATACGAAGGATTCTAGCTAATTACTGGAAAGAGAAGTCTTTATTAACCTAATTCAAAATAGCTGTCTGACACAGTTAATATGCTCAAACTATCAAAATCATCCCGAAAATTGAACTCAGGCCTCTCAAACCCTAATTGACTCATAAATGCCACAATACTTCAACTAGAAATCACCTATAACCCACGACTCTTGTTCAATCCAAGTTATACAGCGTCTACCATTGACCTGTCATATCTTATTATCGGTAATAATCCTCTTGCAGACAATGCGGCACTTATCTATTACAGGCCAGCCCCTAATACAAGTTCCGAACTCAATCAGTTCTGTGTAATATGATCACTTACGTAATTACACAGGTTCACCATATTCTACAAGTTCGTGATCTTTAACGCACATGGTTTATGTGCATCCTATGAAATTCATTCCCAGAATCGAACTGGTAAAACCTACAGTAAATTAATACTGCAATCTGTACTTGGCAGGTACTGAACTAGAATTTATTGCAATGTAACCTACAATAGGGACTCATACCTTGCAGCATAAGCCAGGGATGCCAATCTCCTTAAAATTTTTAAAATTAATTTGTTATAATTTATATTTTATTTATTTATATCATATAGCTTTATAAGCTCATTGTTAAAATTTAAGCTTTATTTCAATATTATAAAAATTTTTTATTTTAATATAATGCAGCTTTTCTTTCTATTAAAGAATTTATATTAAATATAAAAATATGATGAAATTTTACTTATGATATAATTAAATATAGTTTTAAATTATGTGAGGTTAGTATTTTAGATTTATTATTATAACTAAATTTGTAAAAATTTATTAATAACTATTATAATTATAAAAGGCTTTAAATAATATAGGAATATTTAAATAGAAATTAAAATTATATATTTTAAAAAATTTTGAATGGAATATATTAAAAGAAATAGAAAATTTATTAGAGGTAAAAAATAATATAATTAATTGTATTATAATATTATTTTTTTTTTAATTAATTTATTAAATTTATGATATTTTGTACGAATAACAAAATATATTTCACATAAAAGTTTTCTAACTTTAATAATTATAATTTAATTTATAATTGATTAATGAATATGATTAAAGATTTCAAATAAAAACTTTAACAATAGAAATAAATGTTATTACTGTAATAGTATTAGAAAAATTTAAAAATATTATTGTTATGCAAATTCTAATGCTTATCCTATTACATTAATAAATTTATTTTTTTATTTATTAATTTTAATTTATTATTATTAATTTATAATACTTGATCTAAGATTAAAATTATCATATTATATTAATAATCATTAGAAAGTAAATTTTATTAAGAAATTAT